GCACTCAGCTGCCTTCCTCCTTGCTTGGGTGTTCTGGCCGAACGCCCAAGTTTGCGCGGCTTCCTTTTTTTTGAACTCGGCGGATCTGGCAGTCAGTTTCCCGCCTTCGCAGTCCCTCGTTTACAGGATTTTCGCGGCACGCCGCTTGCCATGGTAAGCTCTTGGCTACTTGAGTGGAGCTCTGGGAGCCCGGAAGTTTCCAGCCGCAATTTCTTTCAGGCCTGGCGTTGATTTGAGAGCGCCTGGCCTAATTACTGTTTAAAAGGAAACCAACTGTGTTGCGTGCTCTTCTTGAATTTTCAATTCGGAGGCACACCTGGTCATCCGTGGCAAGAAGCCTTGACCAAAGTGTTTAGCTCATATCGGAGGGTGTCCTTGAGACCTGGTGGGTGTTGAAAGCGAAACCGATCAATGAGCTGCTAGACAGACCATGGAAAACAATCCCAGGAAACCGCCAAGGGATCTTTTTCACGGAATGGAGACAAGCAACATGCAAATTTCCCCAGCCAGGCTGTAGCAGCACACTCTACAGGTTGTTGTTTTGCGGGCGGGGCTTTGTCCTTCCATGAAAAGGCAAGGAGGCAACATGGGGTGGCACTTTACTCCACCTGGTTCGCCTTCAATGTGCAATTGAACGTTTCAATTGGAGAGCGCTTTGTTGTAAATAATTACCTTCGCAATGAACACGCTGGAACGTAGAGATGCATGAGACGCAACCACCAGGTTCAGCGAGGAAAGCATCAAGTGGCAAATATGCCCTACATGCAAGGCGGCCGCAGGATTTGCCAGAACGCCCAGCAACGAAATCCCGTACCAACCAAGCTGTCAAAGCGCAACTGCCATGGGTGCCCAAGAAGTCATGACCCTTTTGGATGCTTCTTGAAGGAAAGCGCGAACTGTGCGGGTTTTCGATGGGGGCTGGCCCAAGAAGTGGCCGCGGCATTTGGCGGAGCTGCCTATCCTTGGCAATGCGGCGAGGTTTGGCGTCGACCATTGCCCTAGGAACGGTGTCGCGGAGAGCGCTGAAAGCTGCTTCTCCGCAAGTGATATTTGTGGCTTTCTGCCAGTAGCAAACCCACATCTCAGCTCGAACCTCGGAACCAACTTGCTTGCTGACCACTGTATGCCAGGAACGCCCCCCTGTTTGCCAGATGTAGGCTCGGGTTATCCCTTGTTTCCCCTGTCAACCAGCAAGCTGCTCTGGGCTAAGTTTGGCTCAGCCTTTGGAAGCTTACCATCGGGTCTCCCTGGAGCATCGGCTTAAAGGTCTAGGCAATTTCCGTGGTGGAATCCTTTTAGTGCGACTTTAGCAATGGCAATCAGTTTTTTTTTCACAAAGGATGACATTCCCATGAAGGTAATTACCACTTGGGGGTTTGGGGAGTAGCTGGGTCTCCCTGGCCCAGTGGCTGTGGGTCACCCAAAATGCTTGCCCTGGTAAATGGAGCCAAAGACCAAAACCTGCGGTCCAATTCCTGGTGGCTTTATTTTGACCCATACCCATCTCTGGGCAAATTTTGACACACACCCTCAGGGTCACAATTGATTTTGAAAAATGTTTTGTGAAACACAGAAAAGGGATTCCACCACAGAAACACACCAGAAAAGGGATTCCATCCTTTTAGTGAAACACACCCTCACAATTGTTTTGTGGGTGCAACACCCGGCCACTGAACAGCGTTTGGTGCCTGAGGCAGGCGGCTCTCAACCTGCTGCAGCGTATGATGCTCCGCCGCGTGCGGGCGGATGTGATCCTCGGGGAGATGTGATTCACCTCCTCAAGGTTTTTACAGCTAGGTGCCCTTTTACCGTTTCTTTTTTGGGGGGATCCTCTTTCGGCTTTTGGGAAACCACAAGGAACCCCACCATTTTAGGCGGGGTTCTCCACACAACAAGACTAGGGGGACCTATTAGTGCCCTTTACCCCACACTAAAATAGAGAAAACGGAAAAAACGAGAGAAACAAGTTGGTACCCTTATTCGAACCTCTCAAATCTGGAGGACCTAGTCCTGGGATAGGGAACCCAATGCTTCGAGCTGGAAATGATGGGATTGGATGTGCTTCAGGCGATTGGACCTTCTGGTTGTGGGCAACGGGTTTTGTGGTTGCCTTTGTGCACCAAGATTCCCTGTCGCCAGAGAAGGCTCAAAGAAGATTGGCGCAACCTGTGTCGGGATGCTTGTGAACCCAGGGAATGTGCACAATGCAAAGGTTCCTTCACATCATGCCCCACAAAGTTGCCCTCGACTTGCAGCAAACATTTTGGCCCTTCTGCTCCTTTGGGTTTCCTGAAGGATTGACCTTCTCAACTTTCTGCAGGCTGCGTGTGATCATAGGTGTCTTTTTTGGGTGTGTTGCTCGGAAAATCGGTGGCCCTGGCTTATTTGGAGGTGTAATCATCTACCAGGGCCATCTATTTCCAAGCTAAAAGGACACCTATGGCAAGGCTTCTTGAAACCGTGTGGCGGGGCCGCTCACGTCTCAGGATCAGCTTCAGCGCGGGCGTCAGCGCCCTGCTTGCGGGGAGTTGTTGGCAAATGGCGCTGCAGCTCTTTGGAGCCATGGGCTCCAACCAGGCGAGAAAAACAAGCACGTGACAGCCCGTGACCCGTGTCTTTAAATCGGGGGATTCCCATGTGTTTGTGGGTTTTCCTTGGGCTTCCCTTGAAAGCCGCACCCAAAAAACTTACTTCCTGAGTTCATGAACTGTAAACTTTTTTTGGGAGGACCGTTTTCGTGGTAGAGAAAATGTTTGGACTTTTTTTTTGGGGCCATCCACTCAGCCGATGAGGAGTGGGTCCAAGTCCATTGCTTTGAGTTTGATATGTGGTTTCTCTAGCTTTGGGTTTTCTCCTACAGCTTCTGAAGCGGTTTTCTAGAGCTTCTTTGGGGTTTGGTTGTTGCAGCCTTCTTTTGTTGGTTTGGCTGTGTTTGTGGGATTGGAGACAATCAGATGGGCTTATGGCAGTCCCACGCCGCGGATTCAGGGGTATCAGTTAAGGAGCATTGGTTCATGAGAACTGCCTGGATTGAGCTGGTGACGTGGCATTCGGATAGCTTCTTTCAACGTGTTGTGGTTTTGGCAGGCATCAAGATGAACAATCTGGAAGGGGGCGCCCACAAGAGGGTGCAATTGTTTCAGACGGGTGCGTTTCAAACTTTGCAATGGCCTCAAATCGTCAGGCCCAGAGGGTCTCGGGGTGCAAAACAATAGCCTTTCAGGCATGACTGAAAACGTGTTTCAACAGGCTCCGCAGTGATTCAGGATGCCTACCTCCTATAGGCAGCCACGTGCAAAGGATGGGGGGGATTGTGAGCTTGTTCCTATGATCGCTGAGTTTTTGTTTGACAGAAGCGATCATCAGAACTGTTCGGTGGCGTAGAAACGTTTCGCCTCATTTTCAGGTGTCTCCGGATGTTGTCAGCTTTTCAGCCGCGATCAGTGCCTGTGAGAAGGGCTTGCAGTGGCAGCAAGCTTTGCACTTTCTGCAGGCCGGATGTCGAAGCGATTCGAAGCGGGTGGACAGCTGGACTTTTATCAGATCCCCGAGGCCTTGAACCATCTATTCGTCGCTTCAGTTGACACAAGTTTGTTTCCAAACACAGAACCCTAGACAACTCACCGTGTGGCTTGCTCGCAGCTGGGAAAATGCCTCAAATCATGTTGGCAGTTCATTGATACCCCCCCCCCCCTCCCCACATCTTTGCAGCGTCAACAGACGCAAATCCCTGCTAGGTGGTGTGTCGCCCCATCCCCTAAGTTTGGATCGACACCCTCCAATATGGTTGCCGGACAAACCGCATGTAAAGTATGTTTAGCCCCAAGGGTCGACTACCCAGCCCTAGCATTTCTGGTGCTCGGACTTGTCCGCATGCATTTTACCCCGGAGGTGCGAAAGCGACGATGTGCAGCAGCCCCCTCAAAGAATGATAGGGCACATCAAAAGGAACCTGAGAAGGGCTTGGTGCCCTTTAGTTTGGTTGCAACCTCCAGTTTTGGATTCGAAAGTCCAGACCCGCAAGGGGTTTTCCGTATTGGACCAAGAGCTTGAGGACTTTTTGCAGAGACGTCAGCAGCAAGTTTTAGACCCGCGAGGTACAAGAAGAGGCGGGCGGAATGGACCTGGTGAGCTGCAATGCGGCGATCAGCGCCTGCCGCAAGGTTTGGCAGCAGGCGCTGAATCTGCTGGCGGAGATGCCATTGAAGAAGCTCCAGGCGTCATGGCCCCCTGGGCGGGGGCTATGGGGGGGTTATCCCTGAAGCCTAGGACAAGCCAAGGGTAAGCTCTGAATACGACCTTGTTCGGGGGCCGGTGAACAAGGAATACCCCGCCCTCACAGCCCTGTTTAGTCCATGAGGAAAAACACCCTGCAGGAGAAACAACATCTCTGCCCATGGCTTTTCCAAGTTGCTCAGTTGTGTTGTCTTTGTGACCGTCCCCTTCTTCCCTGCAAATTTGTTCATGACACCTAAACAATCACCCTGTCTTCGTTTCGGAATCACCGTTTTGCGGACCCCCATGTTTCGGTTCCATGTGAAAAAGGGCAGGGGAGTTTGCCAAAGAAATATGAACTTCCCATGGGCACAGGGGCTGTTGGTGGATTTCGAACAGGGAAGCTTCGGATTCGGCCAACTGTCTTAAGCCAACTGGCGGATCGGCGGACTGCATGGCGATGAGACAGCCGCCCCGAGGAAGCAACCATGCGACCACTCAATGATAGAGGTCCCCGCTTTTGGTTGCGAAGGCAGCTATGTTGGGCTAAGTTGGTTAAGTCAATAACCAAACCATGGCCGCCTTCAAAACAAAGGCTTCGCGAGGATGGTCAAACAAAGTTCACCAGGCAGTTCGGCTTACCCTGCAACTTCAGGAGAAACATTCAGGATCCCAAATGAATAAATGGCAGCTACGTTGTGTCCCACACTGGTACATTGGCTACATAGTTCTTGGGAAGACAAGGGAACCGCAAAGCCATTGTGAGGGGTCAAGTTTTTGGAACCCCCGTATGACATCAATCATAGGATACGGGACAACCAAACAAATGTGGGATTCTTTCGAATATGAACAAGCACAACATTTGCTTGACAACACTTTTGTCCGAGCATGTATGTTGCTTTGGCGCGTTCAAAACCATGAACCTACATGGAACCTGAAACAACCACTTACACATGACGGTTTCCCAAGCTGCCATTGTCCATCAATAAGGCCTGGTTGCTTGGGAAACCATCATATGTAAACGGTTGTTTCATGTTCCAACTAGTAACACTGTGGATGAACGAAATCCTTCACCACCTTGGAATCAGGGAAGTCACTGTTAGTTTGTTATTTGCAGGGGCAAACATCATTCGAGGGTTTCTTAGGTGGTGCAGGATTTCGTCCATCCACAGTAGGGTGACTCCAGGCGACTCGTTCCGGGCAACAAAAAAGAAGCAACGTTTCTCAGGCGGACGTGGTCAGCTTTAGCGCGGCGATTTCGAGCTGCCGCTGGGAACTTGCGCTACATCTTCTTCTGGGAATGCCTGAAGCGCAGGCACATGGGTGTGAGTTTTTGGCGGGTATATACAAGGTCCCCCAGCTAGGTGCCCTTTCTCAACACCTTTTTGGTTGGGAGGGTTCCCCTACTAAAATAGACAAAGCAGAAGAAAATCGGGTACCCGTATTCCAAGCTCTCAAATCTGGAGGAGCTAGCATACCTCTAATGGATGCAATGCCCTCTTCGGAAGCCAGAGGGAAGCTGCACCTTTGGGAAGATTCCCCCATTTTCCATGGGCAAAGGCTAATGTATCATGCGCCTTGCAACATGTAGCTATAGCGGAACTTGTTGGCAGCTGAACATCATACTGTACACTGAGTTAAACCAATGTTTGATGAGAAGACGAAACACTACAATTGAAATGTAGTGGCTCGTCTCCTCATGGGACATTGCTTTAAACTCCCTTCCTCACCTCATTATTATGTTTGGCACAACCATGTGTCATGGCAACGCAGTGTGGACTTGTTTGGGCCAATCCACTCAATTGACTACCTGGCCCAATTGAATTCTACTGAATTGGCGCTTCAACGGGGTTGCTTCGAGCCTCAAAGAGGCTAGAACCTTGGTATTGGGCCGTTTATGTTTTCCTGTTTCCTTGTGACGATCGGGTCGAATGCTTCAACTCCCTGCGACCCTTTTCTTACCCCCGACCTGTTTTTGGTGACGCTCTGTTTGCCTTTCAAGCGGGTTGGGGGGTGAACCAACTAGAAAACGGTCCCTTTGCGCCTTCCCAGGTCCAGCCCAACGTGGTCAGCTTCAACGCTGCCCTGGCCAACACGCCGGGCCAACATACCGCAGAGCTCCTCGCGCTCATGGCCCGACGGCAGGCTTTTGGGGCACTAGGAACCAAATCAGACCCCGGGGGAAGGAAATGGAACCAGCAAGTGATACTGTGGATGGACGAAACCGTTTCGCGCCAAGTTGAAACCACACCAAACCATTATTTGCTGGTATCTACAGGGGAATCATCAGAAACAAGGGTTTCTTAGGTGGTGCAGGATTTCGTCCACAGTATGGAGGTCGAACATGTGACAACAGATGATCCCTTATAATACCTATACGGTGTTTCCCTGTTTAAAGGTCGAGATGGTCGAGCTTGCACAGGTCACCTTCTGAAGACCAAATTGAAGTGGGGATTACCAAAAACGCAGATGCGGGGCAAAGCACCTGCCTTGGGGTTTGCAGGTATATGGTCATGGGCGCCTAAATGGTGCATTTAGACGTGAACCCAAATACCCGCGGTACAGCTCTTCCCAGCTTTTTCAGGGTGTCTTCGTTTGCGGGTGTCTTTAGTGCCCTTTCTCTCCCCTTTTTTGGGGGAGGGTTCCCCTACAGAAAAAAAACATCGGGTACCCTTATTCCATCCTCTCTGGAGGACCTAGTCTGGGTTCATGGCAGCGGAAAACCGCCACCCGTTTGGTTTGGACCCGTAGCTGGCCCCAGCGGCCAGGTGCGTCCCAGCGGCCTGAGCTTCGGTGCCGCCATGGGCGCCTGCGAGCGGTCCAGCCACTGGCGCCACGCCCTGGACCTGCTGAGCACGGCGAAGACATTTTCCCTTCTGGAAACGTCGCTGGTGAAGGCCGTGGTGAGGCGGGCGTCCGAAAAAACCGAAAGGCGGAGGAAAAAGCGTAGGCTTGCCTTTTAGGACCTAGTCTTGAGTTCTGGACTCTGATTTTGTCACTTTTTGGGAAGACCATTTCACAGACAACCACAAAGATTGGACTTGTTTTGGGCCATCCACTCCGGATACGAGCTTAGGTGAAGCCAACCAAAACCGCACTAGTTTAAGAAGAAACGCACATGAAGACTCCGAAGATTCCCGTCAGACCCTGGCCCAGTGCTTTTTGTCAGGTCTTGCCGGAGGAGTGGGCAATGGCAACGAGCCTTGAGCTTGCTGGAAGTTGAGTGAGAAGCGTCCACCATGCAACTCTGCTGGGCATCTTCCCAAGTTTGGAGCGAGTTTGGGAGCCCTTCCTCCATTCTCCAGGTACCTTGGGCGACCATGTTGGACCAAATTGCTCCGAACCTGGAAGCAACGAATCGCACTTTCACCATTGATCTTGGGTCCCCCTGAGTTTCATGATCGGTCAGAGCAACCCTGCCCCATTCAGGGCATGCTAAAAAGTGCGAGCAAGGGCCAAAGGCCCCGAGTGATGTAGCCTGCGTTGCTTGTCAAGCGCTTTGCGCCCAAAGGCTCGCACCATGTCACGAGCCTTGGGTCAAGACAGTCTTTGCAACCCGTCGCACACGCAAATTGCAACCGCGCTCTTGAACTGAGAGTGCAGTGCATGCGCTCCGTGCGGTGGGCTTGCAAGAAGGGTTTGTCCGCAGAATCAGGGACCCTCCAAGCAGGCATTCGCTTCCCACATACGTCTCGAGATTAGAACACCCTCTGATGCGACCTGCTCATTTTGAGACGTATCTGCATGTTTCCACCGAAAAAGCCAAACGGATGTATGGCGTCCCGGATTTTGAGTGTTGTCCCTGCTTCTGAGACAAAGCCGGGTTCCTTTCAAGACAAAGCTGGGGATGAGCTCGCAGCTTGTCCCGCTGTGCTGAAAAGACTCAGTGTGCAGATGTGGCCATGGGTCATAACCTATGCCTCCATGTTGGGGCGGCCTGTTCACCCATGTACCACCGTTTGTTTGATGTTCACCAGGGGTACAGGGTTTTGACCCACAGCCATATCGGCTGCCAAAATGAAACCTTTGGTGGGACCAATCTTGGAAAGACCCGCACAAAAAAGAACTTTAAGTTCTCCTCAAATGCCATGCTAAAGTTATTGACAAAGGGAAACGCAGGCAAACCCTCCATGAAAAAGCAGTATGTTCTGGGCCAACAGCGAAATCGACATGCACCTGAAGCCAACTATTTTTGTTTGGTTTCTACTAATTTTGAGACAGTACTGTATGTACATAAATGAGCACACATACATGCATAATATGTAGTATGAATATGTTATTATATGAATCTGTGTTTCCTTTGATCAGGATCTGATTCTTATTATTCTCTCGTGATTCACCAGTGATATTCATTCAGCCAAGCGAAAATGCAGGGTCGCACTTCTGGGAAACGTGGAACTTGAGAAGTTCGAAGGAGCAACAGGTATGTCTGTGCGTTCCTGTGACTCGCCTGTTCCGGTTCCAACCAGTCAGGTTTTCCGGTTTTCCCCTTGCAGTCGCCCAAGTCTATGGGCTCCAAGTCTGGGAGACATCCGAAAAATCTGCGACACGAAAGAACTCTATAGGCTATAGGCATTGGGGGATTGGCCCAGCTCTGAGTTTTGGAGAGCTTCCCACTGATGGAAAAGGTTGGGCTCCAAGCAACGTGTGGTTGGGCCGTTGGGGTTCCTCCAGGCTTTGGATGACGATCTCTGCACCTTCGAGGTGCGAGGTGTCCTTTCTGATTTTTTTCCGGGGGAAGACCGGGCGAGTGCTTCCAAAGCCGGCTTGCCGGCTTCGGGATCCGGATCCTGCAACAAACCCGCAACAAACCCGCCAGCCCAATGCCGCCTCATGGCGAGGGGTTGCTCAAGCGATATCCCAAATTTGCAATTTATAGGATGTCAGCCAACTGGAAGATCAAAGATGTTGAGATATGGCTTTTGCTCACCGACGCCTCATTTTTAAGGTGGTCAAATTGAAGAGCCAGTACCACGGTTTCTCCTCTGCACCGCCTGAAGTAGGATGCTTTAGTTGAAGACTGAAACTGACATGAGTGTTTTTAGGGAAAGCACAGTCGGCCCAACCATTTGCGGGGCTCAATCGAAGACACGGTTGCTTGATTAACTTGCAACGCTATTCCCTGGGCGTCCTCGACCATACTTTTTTGTGTCTAGGCCATAAACTGCGGAAACCACCTGCTGGTAATGTCCCTCGACCATAAAAAGGAATGAGGGTCGCAGGCATCATTTGACTGGCCGAGTAAGAGTTGCTTTGGATCTTATTTTTTGGGATGTGATTGCGCCGTTGCTTTGACTGAATCGCAACGCTCAATACATCGTATTTCAATCGGCGTACATGTCTGATCGTTTGCGCTCGGATTTGACACAAACGAAATACTTTGAGCCTTGTAGAGCCATACTAGCTGCATTCGCTTTGGTAAGGCAAAGTAGTTTCAAGCGAAGATCACAGGAATGTTTGAACACTACGCGCCGGGCCCCGGCTACTTTATGCGGATCATTTGGACTTTAGTGGAACCGAGTTCTGTAAACCTGCTGGTGCGTCCAAGCCCCGTTTGGCTGGCTGGATAGTGTGTGCACGTTGTCATTCTGTTATATTGTGTTGCTCGCTTTTTCTTTGCCTTCACTCATCAAGTCACAGGCTGCATGCACCCGGCGCAAGCATTGCGATGAAGACATTGTTTTCTTTGAAGAACATGTAGCGTGGACAAACCATGGACAAATCGTGGAACGACCATAAGAAGGCGTGGAACGACCACAAAAAGGCGTGGAACGACCATAAAAAGGCGTGGACAACTCCCTAAAACGGCATGGACAACTCCCTTGTGGACAGGCCCTGGTTGCGGGCAAACAATTCCCAGGCAAAACCATTCATCAGATATTTTGCCTTCGGCAAAGCCAAGTGAGGACACCCCCCAACCTCACCCCGTGTTTTTTGTTATTTTTCTGAGAAAACGATTGCAACGCATTGGACCTTCAAACTCCGCTGTCTAAAGCTTATGAGCAAAAAAGACTAAAGCACCCAATTTCATATGTTCATTGAACAGGGAGTCTAGCAAATTCGCGCGCGTAAAAAAATGCTGGAACTAGCTGAGGAGTAAGCACAGCCGGTTTGATCAGCTTGCTTGTCATAATGATGGTCTGGCCGACAATATTTATCCGCAAAGCAGGCATACAATCCTGGCAATCACCCGCACTCAAATGTAGTCTTATGTGACATTCTTAGGCGCTTGGCTGGTTGACTTCTCAACCTGCTTGCCTTACCGATAGGACCAGAAAAGCCAACTTTGTACAATCCCCGTTTATAGCCTCCATTTATAGGTCTTTACCCATTTTATGGCCTCTGCTTCTCGCCCATACTTTTAATGTTCTTTGGAAGCATAGGGATTGGTCAGGACAGAGAGGCGGGCAGACGGCCCCAGATTTCAGGAGACATAATATTGTCGGGGGGCCTTGATTCAATGGTGTGGTTGTAGAAATCCTTTGAAAGGGGGAACCATTCACTTGCGGCATTTGGAACCCACCAGGTCGCCTTTTGATAGGAGTTGCCATGGCAGTGGGCGCGAGGGTACCCTAAGCATGCCAACTTCGATGCGTTTTGGAGGCCCCTGAATGGGTTGCCTTGAGGATGCTGGGTGTTGATTTACATATTGAGGAAGTGGGTCTTGGTGACACGTGAAGCGTGACAAAGCAGTCATGCGTATCACTGATATTGTGTCATTTCCCACAACTCCCTACCGTTGAGGTGCTGCTGTGGCCCCTTTTGCTACATTGCCACTGTCTTCCTATGGGCAGGAGTGGTGGTTCATCATCGAGGGAAACATGACCATGATGGAGGACATTGGAGGGTGCTCAGTTTGGGTGTGTCTCAACTTGGCGGCTCCCAGCCATCCGGTTCCTTAGCCCTTTAGCTTTTCAGTGTTTAGTGGGGGTTTCCATTTAACCCACTAAAAGTTAGTCACTTTTAGCGGTGGATCTGAGCACCTTGAAACAGTCGGCTTCCTTCTGGCTTCTCCTTCCAGGGGAATCCTCGGGCCTGCCAGGTTCATGTAGACATGTTTGGTGCGCCCTTGTCACTCTCCAAGCTCGTTTTCAGCTTGGAGTTGCCTGGGAAGCATCTAAATGGCTCGAACTAAGTTTGCGTTTCCCCAAGGATACGGCAAACTGAGGGCTGAAGCGTGGTCTTGATGAGCCCGCTTGTATCAGTGACATTGTTTGGCCAAGAATGGCTTAAACCTAGGTCTAGTGTCGATGTTAGGCTAAAGCATACACCGCCTATGGCAAGTCCACCGAACGGGTGCACCCGTGGAAGGTTGGAACAAATATATGATTCTAATATTTGGTTGGCGCCGCTTGGGTGGTTGGTGTTCAATCATCAAACCACATGTACAGCATTGGTCAAAGCAGTTCATGCCACACTCAGCCCGTCTGCCGATGATCACCGCCGGCACGTGGCTCGCATGCTAGACCAGAGAGACACGCCGAAGATCGGCGATTCTGCAGAAAGGTCTCGCTAAAATCGTGGCAGCAAGAACTGCATGTGGTCACTGGAACCAAGCCACAAGCTTGCACTTTTAGGCTCGCCCGATCCAAAGGGCGACTGCACAGGAAGGCTTTTCTGTTTTTCATGTGTGTGTTCAAAACTTAGGAAGTTGGTGTCAGGTTCCCTCCCCAACGAGGTCCAACTTGATTTGACAACGACATGGGCAAATTCAAGACGCCTCTTCGGTCGCCTCGCGCGCGACGTGTGGTCTCTGCGCGCGATTGCGGCTCAACTGCGCCCACCGAAAGCAGAAAGCCAATGCGCCACGTTTGAAGTCGCTTTTGCCCGCTGGCGAAGCAGAAGTTCACTTGGCTTGCTGATTGACTTGAATGGATCTCGGGTAGAAGGGAATTCGAGTAGTGTCAGGATACATGTCACTGTCTTCCTGGTAACCAACAGGGAAGCAAGCGTAAACATAGTAACGAGCAACACTTGTTTGGGACAAGCTCCAATCATGGGGGTGATTTTCATGTGTTTTTTTCTTGCGGGGGAATGGTGAAATTGTCGCAACGCCGTGGATCAGGGAACGCCTGTCAAAAGTGCTCGGTTCGGTTTCTTAGATGCTTCCATCCCCAAGTTCAGTGTTCTGTTGTTTGTCCATTGTCCAGTTGAGTCAAGGTTCCACAAGATATTCACATTCGGGCAGGCCAGTGGGCGCCTGCACCAGTTGGGATGGATGAAGCCCTACGGGGATACCCTGCCACTGTGAGAATTGCTTTAGGTTCTCTCTCGCGCCGGCTGGAAACATGGTTGGGCAAAGGCTGTTAGGGCCACCTCCTTTCTGACAAAGTCAGCGGGTTGGGAGTTCCACTTTGGCATCACAAGGTGTAATATCCACAACCATGCGGCACTTGGGTTCTGTCGGCCGTTTTAGAAGGGATTGCAGTAAAGCCTGTGTAAACCATCACAATTCATCATCTCAGTAGCACCAAAGATCCAAAGAGTTTCAGGCGCTGTCGGCTGGGGAGTGTTGGCCACATAAATAGGGTTGTAAACCTGCTCATGAGTTCATGGACTTCAATCCTTTTTGGAAGACCATGTTCCATTTTAGTGATAAAAGAAAGTTAGGACTTTTCTTGTCCAATCCACTCAGGAAGTGAGAGGGTGTAAAACCCTTTTAACCAAACCCTCCGGCGTGTCAATCGGCCAGGCATGACCTTCAACAAGGCATCGAAGTCTGCTGCCGGCATACGGCTGCCCCGGGAGGAGCGCGCGGCGGCTCAGCTTTTTTCTCCACGCTTGGGACGCAACATGTGTTTTTCTTTTCGAGGGTGCCCTTTTTTCCCCCCCCAGGAAGCCAACTTTTTTTTTTGGGGGGGACCCCCATTTTGACACGCTCGGTTGAAGCAGCTGGACCCTCCCAGGGAAAACGAAGTGGAGTTTTAAAGATGTGTCAAGACAGGGCTGCGCAGTGCCCACCCTGCTAATTGTAGTTGTGCAGGGTCGCCAAGCAACTGAGATTTAGCCCAAGTTGACAAAGCGAACGGCGGTTTAAACCTTGCACCATGTAACTGTAGAACCAACCGCCACCGGGCTGATGTCGGGTAAGCCAAGCTGGAGCCTTTGGCCCTAAGGCTCATTTGGCAAGAAAGCCTTGGGCAGGACCTCAGGGTTGCCCCCTTTCATTGGAGGGATGTCCGTTTCTCGGTTCCAAACGGAATCAGAAACCAAAATGCGTCCCCTTGGTTCATGAAAAGGCCTGGCAGGGTCCGATTTCTTTTGACAGCTGCTTTTTGTATCCTGTACGAATCCCGTGGATGTCCTGTACCAAAAGACCCAGTTACCATGCTGTTGGCTAGGTCTGACACGAGGTGCGTAGTTGGTCACGGTTGCTCTAGTCGCCTGGTATCAAACGCTGTTTTCGCTGCTGTTCTTCTCAAGTGCTACTTTTCCCCCTATCTACTCAGCGCAACCGTGTCCAACTGGGGGTGGGTTGGGGGGTGGGGGGGGGGGGATAATTGCCTTCAGTCCCTACGGTTCTTTTCACGGCTCGGTAGGGGTGTCTGCTGACCCTGGCCCAGTTGAGTCCTGGGAAGATGTACAGACCAGTGGCTTGTTGAATTGTGTCAGCAAACGTGGTGTTTCTGGAATTCATCCTGATGGTGCATTGTGTTGGCCAAAGGCAGCTCGCATCCTGAAAGCCAAGAAATTTCATCAGGTGAGCTACCAACTAAAAGAATTATGTAGACACGTAGATGATGTCAGCAGTCTCAAGTTGTCCAAAGCTCATGGAATTCGATCGGTTGCTTCTTGCCTCCGCAGCTCCACTGCAAATGTTGGTGTGACAATGTTAATGTTCATTTGAAACAAAGAACTTATCAATTCGTGTGGAGACGAAGTTTGGGAACTGCTTCGCCGAATGCTTTGTTGGGGGCATTGGCGAAATTGTCGTGCAATTAGCCGAACGAAGTAGTTTTGCATGTTGACGCCTGCCACGCTGCGAGTGAAATGAGCCAAAACCCAACGTTTTGACAGTGACGGCTCCGAAAACACCAGGCAACTAGCGTAACCGTGACCGTGTAGTATCACCGTGTATGCAATCCCCAGGGGCCAGCCCCGGAGCGTATCGTGGGTGAGACAGCATACAGCAGTGTCATCAACCAGTCATAGGTTTGATCAGGATGTTGCGTCGTACGTGGTCATGGGGGGGACCATGGGGTACTCGTCAATCCTCTGTGCGGGTTTAGAGCATATTTTGAAACCTTTCCCCCTGTAACCTGCCTGTTTGCCCAAATTATTCATGCTGTCTATTTCTTTTCTACAACTTCCCTATCATGCTAAACCTGCTCCCTGAAGAATGCTTCTAGTTTCTTCACAGACATTTGCCGCAAGCAATGAAACACCATTCAGTAAGGGCGCACACGATAGCGCTAAAATGCTTCGAATATTGAACTGCTCCTTCAAAGATGCCCCAAAGTGAACATTGGGCGTCCTCGATGCGGATTCTTAATTGCCATAATTGCTGTACTCTCTTACAAGACCACCTGCAATGGCTGGTTGGTGTGACCTCAGCCCCTTAGATGTTTGGGCAACCAATGGAGTTTCCATTGGACCCTTTGAAGGCAAGATTCGCAAAGAGCTGCCCCCCCCCCCCCGTTGAACCTTTGTATTTTCATGACATCAATCGCTCGTACCTCATGACATGCGTCGTTCTTGTGCTTTAAAATGGCTTGCAGCATAGAGCACCCAATTCTCATAGGGAGCCCCACTACCACTTGGGGCGTCTTCTTTCTCAGGTCAGAAGCAAGTGGACTCAGTGCGGGAGCTCTTCAATTGGAACCCCGGCCCGGAGCTCGGCGCGACGAGCCCCCGTTCGGGTTCAACAACTACTAGGATTCCAACCCCTTGTTCGAATAAGGCCTTGACAATACCTGAAGACCTTATTTTGGGGAAGGTTTTTTTTGGTTGTTTCGCGGTGGGTAATCATGTATTTGGGTCGAAGCTGCCAAAACGAGTGCAGAACAACTGCTGTATACAGAGGCCTTTGCCACGCCATGAGCCATGCGACAGCGCATGTTGTGCTATGTGACTGGCTGGTTGGACCCCGCAAGACACCTCCCTCCCCTTGGCTTGAAATGGTTTGTTAGAAATGTGGCAAGCCCGGCAAACCCATTCAGTTGTAAGCCCGGCAAACTCCGTTTAGGAAACCAATCGCGGCCATTTTCTAACCAACAGCTGCCCCGGCCCCCCGTCCAGAGCCGATTGCCGAGATCGCATCGCCGCGGCGAAGTATCACAGCCCGGTTTGGGCGCCCCAGTCGAGAGCCGGGCCATTTGGTACAGGGCGGGAAGCGAGCGCGTGCCGTGCACGGGGGCTCTTGGCTCGAGTCTTGCACGCGCCATCCAGCTTTCAGCACGCTCTGCACGTATCCCGCGTTAGACATCCATGTCTGACCAGCGAAAAAATTTCGCGCGGCGGCCAAGCTTCGCGCGACTTTCTCAGGCTATGGCTCAGGATGGCTGGCGCTGACCTTGGAAGTTCTCGGTTTCGGTTGCCTCGGGAGCGGTGGGTTTTGCTTCGATTTTGCTTTACCCAGTGGAAGCCTTCGCCATGTTCCTTTTGGTTTCTGGGTGATTTCCATGGTTGCAAGGGTAAATGGAATAACTGGGTTAGTGTTGAGACGTTGGTACTGCTTTGACTGGTGGTGTTGCTTTGGTGTTGATTTGGCGTTGCTTTGATGTTGGTTTGCCATTCCTTCACTCAGTGTTAGCGCCCTTTGGCTTTGCTCTGGTTTTCTCTGTGGTGGCTGCCTTGGTGATTTGTTCGGTTTATATTACCAGTTTTGAGTTGTTTGGGCAAAAGATGACAAGTATTTTGGTGTGTTGTTTCTGGAGAGAGTCATGCAGGGCAAGGGTGCAGATTGCTGAGTTCATTCGAGTGTTGCGCCAGTGCTAAATTGCAGCGAGCTTTAATTTGCATTGGCCATGGTTGAGCTTCGTCTCTTGAGGATCTTCCCCCTGCAATATTGCGGGTTTGCTTCTCGGCAGATCGAGGTATTTTCAGGCCACCTTCCCCCTCCAAACCGCCGGGCTCAGCGACGAATCCCAGGGACCTGGAAATGCAGCGCTTGGTGGAGATGCAGGCGCTTCGGCTTTTGGTCAATCGCTTTGGGAAGTAGAAACTCGATGCCAAGGAAAGGAGAGCGAGCCATGACTGTTTTGTTGCTAGGTGTCCCTAAGATCAGCTACCACTTGAGTTTGGACGGAACGGACCATCCTTATGGTTGCTGCTTGGTTAGGACGCGAAGGGGACCCCAGCGCTCCAATCCCCAATGCCCCCGCCCCTCTCCCCCCCAAAAAAAGAGGAAAAAGCACACACACAACGCTGGCATGCCAACTCTCTTTCAACCCAACCCAACTGGTGCGATCTGGATTTATCCATCAGTACAACTGATCCTGTCACTCAACCCTTCAATAGTCCCAGTGCGTCCCAGTTCACAAGCCAGTTTCACTTTGGCTTCTTTCTGGGATGGTTCCCTTGGTCATACTTGTTGTTTTCAGAGCGAGGGCGATCTCGCTCTGCATCCTCCAGTGGAACGAAGGAACTCGTCAGGAGCTTCTGAGGACGCAGCTGTCCCCTCGAAGTCTCAAAGGCGCGCGCCGTCGGGGATTCGGCGCCGTCGGCGCCGTCTCGTGAGTCGACTCCGGGATTCGCGCGGGCTTGACGGTTCAGGCTGCCAAAGTGTGGGGGTCCCTTTGGTTTCCCTGCAAACCCATGCCAAAAAGGGTGCCCTAAGGAAACAAAATGCACCATAAAGTATTAAAGATGCAGTCTGTGGACGCTTGGGGAGATTCATTCAAACTCCTTGCTGACTTAGCTTAGTGTTCAGCTCGTGATAGTAACTTGTGGAGACTCCATGACCTCCAGTTCGAACCAACGATGCCGCTCGCCTTGTTCCATGTTCTAAGCGACCCGCCTGGCTAGGGGGAAGTGAACCGTTTGCGCACACGTTCCGAACCTGGAAAGGTCCCATCATCTAGGCAAAGCAACAGGAAGCCAATTCTTTGCAGTATACACGGGCTTGCCTTTTTTTAAGGGAACCCCAGAATGGTGGTTGTCATTTTGTTGTCTCTTCAAACCCACCCAAAAAGGGTACCACCAAAACAGGACACGAGACTATATGTAATATGCATATACCCATGTATATATGTACATTTATGAGATATATATATATATATAAAAATATATGTACTAATATATATATATATATAGATGTGTCTAATTTATATATATATATATATATAGATAGATAGATAGATAGATAGATAGATAGATAGATACATAGATACATAGATACATAGATACATAGATACATTGATACATTGATAGATATATATATATATACCAATATATATATATATGATATATATATATATATATACACATGCTAGTTTGACATATCCCCTTCGCATTGGGCAACTCGCGCAGAGGACGCGGAGCTTCGCCCGGCCCGCGCTCTTCGACCCCGGGGCGTGCTGGAGTTGGCGGTTCCCGGCGGCCTCGGCCCTCCAGCGCGGGGGTCTCAAGTCGACTTTGGCTCTCGGGATCTCAACGGGGAAATTTCCAAATGAGTCACAATCAAAACCTGGGTAGATGGTTCGGTTAGTAAGGAACGATCCCAGCCATAAATAGCTGCGGATATCCGCCTTCTTAGTTCTTTACATGGTTCTGGGTCGACCATTTTTGTACCGGGTTTTGATTGTGACTCAAATGTGGTGGGTGGACATTACATGGACCTTTGTGGTCATGTCCCAAACCACTAGCCTCCAAAGTGGCTGGTGACCTTTGGACATCATGTCATTCCCACGTAAAGTGGTTCCTGGACATTACCCGCCCACATACAAGGTTTCTTTAGCTAGGTGCCCTTTTACCGTTTCTTTTTTGGTTGGGAGGGTTCCCCTACTCCTCTCTACTGGAGGACCTAGTAACCCCCCCCCCCCTCATAAATGTTCAATGATGTCCAAAGGTCATGTGGGAAAATCGTAGCCCTTTGAGGGTAAAAGGAGTTTGCAATCAAGGCTCGTTTGGCAATCCTTCTTTCAGGTTGGTGAATCCTCATATCTTCCTCAAGGTGCCCATGTATGGGTTCCGGTTCTGCTTTTCAAAATGTGCAGCTCCCATGGGCTTCATGCAACATGTTCGCGAGGTGCCGTATGGAGGTCGCAGAGTCCATGAGGCGCGGTGGAGAGTTGAACCGGAAGATGTGCACATACCTGCAAGGAAACATTGTTCTTATGTATGATGTTGAATAGGGGGCCCTTTGGTGGACATAATTTAGGTGGATATTCATGTCCTCCAACAACTTTTCGGGGTGGTTCCGTGTTAAACTCCATGTATACACACATATGCATGCACATAGCCTCGGGCATAGTGGCAACTGTTGTGGCATGGAACCAGAAGAAGGTGCCCCAAAGACTGTTTTCACTACCCAGCCGCTACCCGCAAAGAAAGTTGGGGTTTGCAACAGCTTTCCCATTTTCCAACAGCAAGTTTCCTTGGGATATCGCCGTTGCTGTGGCCTTCTTCATAGCAAACTGGACTCGGTATGTGTGGGGAGGGAAGCAGCAGGAGCGGCGAGACGCTCGGGCCTCGCGTCGTTGCGGCTGTGGGCCGGGATCCCGAGAGCATCCCTGTAGCCCAAAGATGTGCCTGTTGCAGTTCTTTTGGTTGTCAAGGCCCCCCAGCTAGGCGCCCTTTCTCTCCCCTTTTTTGGTTGGGAGGGTTCCCCTACTAAAATAGACTAGGTACCCTTATTCTAACCTCTCTACTGGAGGACCTAGTTGTGTTGCTTCCTTTGACATCAACAAAGAACTGGATCCAATTTGGTTTCTATTTGCCTAAGCCACGAGAAGGTGTCCTTTTTAGACTGGGCGAGTGAGAGCTTTGCTGTACCAGAGTGACCACATCGCTTCCGTTTCGGGGCACCGAAGCGGGTCAGGGGTGATGGCGACAAGAATGGAGGTTCCTTGGCCCTTCCTTGACCCTCACATTCCGGTTCTTGAATAGCAAGCTTTTTTTTATCACACATGATCTTCGGTTGGGTGTATACCCCTTGTAAGCAAGATGCTTTGACTGAGCGTTTGCACATAGCTTCGCTTGACGGAGCTGTTTTTTCTTGTTCATTCAACCAAAGGGATGGTCAGCTTATGGACCTTCGTTCTTGCTGCCTTTTCTGGCACCAATATCCACTAGGCAGTGCCTCTCCCTATGGTTCTAGACAAATCTGCGAGACCACACGCCTCATTTTGAGAGGGTCCGAGTCTGAGGAGGACCTTGGAAGATCGCAGGAGAAATGACAATCCCACGTGTGGGGTCCAGTCAATGTGTTGAAGTCGCTTGAGGACTTCGATGAGTCCGGGCCTCATCTCTTAGCACCAGCACCACTCCCTTTCGAGAAAAACAAGCTTTTCCCCAGAAGTCAGTGAAACTCCTGGAGGGAGGGGTGAATCTTGAGGACTTCATATCCGGACCCCACAAAAAAGAAAAGAAAAAAAGATGCCGCAGAATGTTAGGTTTGACTTGGGTGCCCCATTTCCCCCTTCGGCCGTGTTGAGGGCCACCGAATTGAATTTTCGGGCGCTCACTTGCCATGCGCTCATTCGCGACATGGCTCACAATAGAAATGGTTGGGGTGATGTCTTAGAAGAAAGGTCCTTAGATGAAGCCCGGGGTAGACTTAGGATACATTTTACATTTTACCAGTGACGCCATGTGAAGCAAACAATAAAATACACATTCTACAACTGGGCCAAGTCTAATCATGAAGCATTGTAGGAAATGTGACTAGTTGTGGTTGGTTGTAGATCCCTGTTGCACTGAGCTTGGAGTGTTTGAGAGCACTGCAGTTGCAGGCATGTTGCGCCCTACAGAGTGGTGTGGATATTCTGTGTCCCTTGCCTGGTTTATGGTTTATGTAATTGGGATGGAAGCAAGGACGCAAACCCTTGCCATCCTGGTTGACCAAACCCACGTGAACTTGATATCCACCCCCCACCCCCGCCTCCTGCAGACTGCGAATGACTGCGAGTGAACGGATCAACGGAAGGCACCTCAGCCACGAGTGGTTGAAAAAGCGCTCGCTATGTCTTCCGAAGAAGTGTTTTTCATCAAACTTCGGCGCCCGCACCTCAATTTCCTTTTCGAGGGAAAAGCAAGCTGGGCAGTGGGCAGCCTGCAAAGTTCTGACGGGCCAAGAAGGTCCTTGAGTCAGGAGGACGTGCCCAAATATTCCCAAAGCGGAGTTTATTTCATTTACGTCGGCGCCGGGAACACAAGGAGTTTCTTTTTGGTAGAGAGTTGCTCGCAAAGAGAAGAAGGCTAGCATGTTTGTGTAACTTTAGATTTGGGGTTCGCTCGGGTTCCTTGAGTGTCTTTGAGCATCCAGATGTTTACAAACTGATACCATGTGTTTCCATTTGAGTTTAAGAAGACAAGCGAAGCATCCTTGCCACGTGGCATGGTCCCAAAGAACTCTAACTCTTTTTAGTTTGAAATGCATAGGGCCGCAGTTGATCGCCTGTTTGGATCTTAGCTTGGGCCACCGTTTAAGGGGGCTACAACATGGCCAAAGCACCCATTGCTTAGGATTGACAACTAGGTCCCCAGCTAGGTGCCCTTTCTCACACCTTTTTGGGGGGAGACTTCCCCTACTAAAATAGACTACAGACAAAAGGGTATACCCTTCTTCTAACCTCTCTACTGGAGGACCTAGATAAGGATGGTCATCAACCCCTTGATACGGATTTCAGACAAACTTTGCAAAGGTCCGCATTTTAGGGAGCCACTTTGGATGAACAAAATCCAGAATCAGCTGGAACTAGAATTTCTGGGGCAAGCTGCCTATCAACACGGCATGACTATGGCTTACGTAAAGGGCCTCCCCCAAAAAGACCATGCAGGTTGTGATTTTTGGATGGTATCATTTCTCAGGTTGCTTTGCAGGGAGCCAAAAGGAAAGCCACTGGGTCTCCTACCCATGCCACCCTACAAAGCAAACCCGAACGTGGTGCCTCAGGCCGGCCCCTCCACTGCCGGAGCCTCAGCCGAGCGCGTTTTTCGATTCAAGCCGCGCGTGTGGCCTCGACAGGTCTCATGGGGCTGAAATTGGGCTTATGGCAAGGTCTGCGAAGCCTTTTCCGGCCATGTTGAACTTGAACCAATCGTCAATGGTTTTGTTATGTCTTGCTGCTTTGCATCGATGCTCATAGAGCCTGGAGTGTACAGCCTGAACGGTCCGAGGGCGAAGGCTTCCGGCGGTTCCCGCCAACACGGACGTAGGTCCCTGCAGAGATTGGCGCCTTGGCCGCGCTCAACATCAGCAGCTGGTGGAAGAGTTCCGCGATGCCCGGGAGCTTGGGCAAAACAATAAAGGGCGCGACGTCCGCGGTCCGGGGGGCGGCTTGTTGGGGGGGGGGGGGGGGGGGGTTGAAACGACGGGACGGAGGTGATATAAGGGTCATGACCCCTTCCAATGCAGAAGGGGGGGCGCGATGAAACGAGGGGAGGATGGTTCTTGTTTCTCAGCGTTCAATGCAGAATCTCGGACCCTCCTAATGGAGAACCCCCACCCTCATGGGCCCTCCAAAGCAACCCGCCGGGTCGGAAACCGATCGTGTACTTGGAAGCGCTCCAAGAAAGAAGGGAAGTAAGAACCATTAACAAAAACAGAGGTGTTGACGTTCTTTTTGCGGCATCTACAGCATTGCACGGCCGTGTTCCCACAGTTTTCCACCAAATGCGGTTCTGGCCAAGGCCTCGTGTCCGTTTTGCTTAATCACACCCTCAGAATCCGTGACGGAATTCTGTGGCCATCAGGATTTCGCAGGGCTCCGTGCGTTGCTACGCATACATTATCCTTCAGATGTTAAAGCCGGAGCGAGCCGCAACTGGAAAAGCTCCAAGAATAGAACTCCTGTACGTGACAACTGCTGCTTTCTTTTTGGCCGCGCGCGTGTCAGCCTTTGAAGTATCTGCCTGCGTCCTTCAACAAATCGGTTGAGTCGTTTTTGCTGAACCTTCACTGGAAGCATTGGATATACTCAGGGATTTGGAGGAGATGCCGCTGGCAAGTTGCCAGGGATGCACCGCTGGCATTGCTTTCACAAAAATCAATTGTATCTGTGCGTGCCTGGACGTATCTGCCGGCAAATTCCTATTTGAAGTGCGAAACAAAACGGCGCAAAAGCATGGCTTCTGATGCCAGGCGAGGGACGCACATTGCAGTGAAGCCGGCTCCGTGATGCTGCTCTGCTTTGATTGACGATGAGTGCTTTGAAACCTATAGGCAGCCAACAAGTGTCCGCAAAATGAACGACTTCATCCCATCACCCCTCAATCCCCCCCCTCCAACTCCATCATGTCGCTGACCTCCTGAATTGGGCACAACTACACGTGCGGTTTTCGCTCCGTAGGCCAAAAAACAACATTTTGAGGCCCCAAAATCAATCGTAACCCTAAGGGTGTGTGAATTCGATTTTGCCCAGAAATGCCTACACACAACCTGCATCCTGCCTGAGGTTCGGGAGATGTACCACTTTCTGCGAGGCGGGGTCCGGCGGTCGGACGGGCGCTTTTTTTTTTTTTTTTTTTCCGTTGGGGAGTCCAAGCGTGGAGCACCTTCACCCCATCCAGAGGAGGCCCTGTTTTCTTCTCCCGCCGCATTGTGTTCCAGCGAAAAGGGGAGAAACCTTGATGCCTTCGAAGGTGTACCCACGCGCCCCCCCTCCCCCGTTTTCAATGCGGGGGCCCGAAACTGCAAACATGCTGATAGTTGATGAGGGTTGCCCTTGTGGTGGACTTACATGGTGCCAGCGGGGATGCCCCTCAAACAATGCCTTATTCAAAGAATGGTTGGGTGGCAACAGTGGCAACCCTTTCCGCTATATCTCGAACTGCAGTAGTTTACCCATGGGCTCTTAAAATTCAGCCTGTTGGTTGCCCCTTTTGGTTACCCCTTTGATGCCCATGTGAAATGGGTTCAGCCCCTCTGCGCCCCCCAGCTGTGAGGTTAACGGCACCGCGAGGCAGCCGAGGCTCGACTTTCCGAATATGGGACTAGAAATTTGATGTGTCCACACAGGGGAGCAGCAACCAAGGTAGGTGTGGGTCAAAAATCGGGAAACCCCGAAACGGTTTGCCCTGGCAAAAGTGGAAAGGACTAGCCCCTGCGGTGGTTTAATTTTGACCCCCTGTCTCCGGTTCCGATCGAGTCCCAATTTAAGGACCCCGCTGTTTGCCTTAGTTTCGCAGCTCCTGGTTAAACCGGTACTGTCAGCTGTTTTATTCTCAGACTGCAGCAAATCTGTCGAGGATCCGCGAGCCTGACGCGCATGACGCAGCCGGAGCCAGCGGATGCGTCTCCTTTTTGGGGTCTGATTTTAGGTGTTCTTCAGAGGAAGTCCCAAAAAATGTGGTCCCTTTTCTTTCCAGCAACACCAAGAAATGTTCTCCAGGGTCTCATTTTGGGAAGTCCTTTGGTCGCATGTTTCCAGTTGCACTCGCAAAGCGAGCACGGCTGAGCGATGGAAAGGCCAAAGGCCGCCGTTAGGCACAGCTGAACGGGTGCCGGCAGTTCCATTTGGGTGTTTGTTATTTTGGTCACCTTGGCCGTCTCAAACTGACTTTCCTTTAGGTGATGTTTAAGGTTGACCCCGGAATAAGAATCCAACCCTATGTAATACATGGGGGTTCTTCTCAAAATGAATAAGCCTCTTCCTCAACCAGAGGTGTATGAATCCGGGGCCGTGCATCACAATGAGGCAAACAAAAACCAACATGAAGCCAAGCGGTTGTTGGAGTGTCCATAGCTTTGACATATATCTCCTCTGATTCTCAGCACCCAAAGAGCTGCGCGCGGCTGCTCATTTTGGCCAAGGGTTCGAAAAGCCACTTGCTGACGACGGGGAGGTGCCAATCCCGATTGCCCACTGGGTTCCATTCAGATCTTCCAACCAAGAAGTGGTCCTTTTTACCATCAAAAGATGAAGTAATTAATTCTCTATTTGTGTGTTTTGAAAGGCGTGTGCTAGGGGTTTGTTACTTACCTGTGCATCTCTGCCTGCTCCAAAACCATTTTGTTTTGTGGCCTGGACGCTGCATGCCCTGGGTGCAAAACAGGTTGACTTTGTAGGTCCTTTACTTGGGGCATATCATAAGATTTGCAGATACCTGTGGATGAATCCGGCTCCCTTGAGCATAACAGCCCTTGGGATGTTCACGTTCTTCCGTTTGGGCGCGCTTAAATTGATCGTTTCGCTGTCGATACCCATGCAGAGTAGAGATGTGCTGCCCTACTCGCCCGCGCTTTCCCTGTGTGGTGTGCGGTTCTTTAGGCCCCCTTTTTCCCCACAGTTGACCCTGACCCCTGGTGTGTGTGTGTGTGTGTGTGTGAGCACTTTCCATGGTCGAGACGCCAGTGTTTCTTTCAGAAGCCCACATTGCAGGCAACGGTTTGCTGTTGGTATCCCTCCAAGCAGCGTATGTGTGGACGTTTTGTTTGGTTCTGCGGCTTCGTATGTTTGAATTGTGCGACGTGCTTCATCTAGCCAGGGGAAGGGCAATTTGCTGTCTTTGGCCAGTCAGCTCAGCAAGGGGTTTCAAGTTTTTCTCCTGGTTTCCTAGACTGAAACTCAAGGGAAGGAGCCACACACATTGTCACATCATGTGCAGAATCTGCGTTCAGGATTGGACACCTTGATTGAAACCCCGAGATGTGCAAGAACCCTTTGAGTCGGAGCTTGGAAGCTAGCCACGTGCTGTGGGTACCGGTATGTCCCTTACTTTATTTAGCCTTTGTGTTCCCTTTGTGTTCCCCTTGAGTCTTTTTCCCTTTTTTCACTTTGCCAACTTGCTTCACGATCATGCAAGAGTCATGTGTGTAGTTGATTTCGGCCCTTCCATGGGCATGTGTCAAAATAGGCCCCCGAATTGGTGACGTTCCTTTTGGTTTCGCTTTGAACACCTGAGAAAGGTACCACCTAACAAAAACTCAAGTTGCTGTGGATGGACCAAATCCACGTTGCACTTGCTGGTAAGTGGTTTATCAACAAGTATTCATACTATGGGAGCATAGCGCACTTTTGGGGAGCCAGCATTTCGGCAAGCCACCATAGGGTGTCATCCATCCCCACTGGTCCAGGATTTGGGTATGTCTTTTTCTGAGCCTTTGTCGTGGTGTTCAAGGGAAGCCAAAAGTTGAAATCCGAGTCCATCTGGGGGTCCAACCTTAAGACATACCCGAACATCGTCCCATCCACAGTACCCGGGTGCTGATCGAACGGTTTTCGTTGATCCCATCCTTCGGTTCTTCGGCGAGGACCTCATGCCGGGTAGTTACGGCATCACCTGGGTCCTGCGGCCAAGAGGTGGCGCCAGGCGGAGTTGTTTTGCGACGCGAAGATACGGATTAGATGAATAAGGGCACTCGTGATCATACTAATGAGCTTATGTATAATATATATATATATACCTTGACCTTCCAGGACCCTGAAAGAAGCAGGCCTTTGGCTGATGTACCTTTTTCCAACCAAGAGCAAAATCAAGAAGGGGCCCTGTTTTGCGGGTCCTTGGAAGACCAAAGATATATTGTGTCATGTCTTTAGTAGATGTATTCATTTTGAGATGCGACGAAGGGGGTTGTCAACATGAATCCTCAGTTTATTTCGGGCTGAAGCCGAAAGATGCAGCGGCCGGATGCAATGACTCCAGATTCGTTGGCACTCTCTTCGGATCGCCGTGCCGCTTGGGCGCCACTGGATTCTGATTTCCAGTAAATTTCGGGCCCTCTAACTCCCTGCATCAGAAACAGTCAAGCCAAAAGCGGGTTCCATGTCCTTGCCTAGGGTTGGCTCAATGATTCGTACGCTTTCCCAGTTTGAGGGTTCATGGAATCATGAACCTCTTGGCTTTGATCAATCCAGTGAAAGTCTCACGAGCGCTTTGCGCCCTAATGAAAACTCCCACCCAATCCATTCGTAAAGGAGGGCAAGCCCTCAGAACTGCTTCGCCAACCCAAGAATCAAGCAGGGAAAATTTCGGTTCAAACATCTCAGTGGCTTGCAATGATTCCGTCGCATGGAGCTTCCTTCGCCCGGCAAGTTAGCGTTGCTCCCTTTCAGCGAATGGTTGACACCTGTGGTGTGTGTGTACATATATAGATATATAGGCGTTACTCCCAAGGTGGTTAGGCCTTCAATGTTGTTTGTTGTTTAGTCACACTAAGAAACCACGACAGATGGCAGCATGCTTCATTTGGTTTCCCTTAAACGACATCCAACGCTTTACTGTTCTGAGGCATGTGCTTGTGTGGGCCAGTGTGGGGCGCTGCTGTCGTTTGCTGCAATACATTTAAGATGACATTGGGCACGCTCACCAGGACATAGGTGTTACTCCCTCAAATTCAATGTCATTGGGGCCGCAATGAATATTGACTGATGTTCACATTCACAAGCAGGCTGCAAAAGCAGCATTTGTTGCTAGATTCAGGACGACAAAGGGGCAGCTTGTTGGGCAAAGCCCATCGTCATTTGTCTTCATGACCCTTAGGGAGTGATCCCATGAGCAATGACCCTATGGTTTAAGTGCGGAGACTTCGGGTATACTTTTCTTGCTGGTGCTGAGGGAATGACCTTCCTGGCTTTGGGAAGGAACTCTGCAAGGAAACTGCATCCATAGTCTTTGTTTTTTCGGGGTCATTCCAACGCATTCCCTGAGAACCAGCCGAGCATCCACGCGCTTTTGCTCCCACTGCAAGGCTCAGGCTTCGCATCCCGGGTGTTTTTCTTTTTTGTTCTTTATTATTATTATTGTTGTTTTTTTTTTTCTGATTGTTATTATTCTTATTGAATATTATCATTATTATTATTATTATACCTTTTTTTTCTCGGGTGCCGAGCGCAGGCGCGAGCCCCGGGTGGAGAAGAAGCCCTCGAAGAGGCCAGAGCAGCTGGAGACGAGATTCTCTCGCGCCCGATTTCCCAATCTCACTTCTTGGAGTTCCTGGACTTGATTCTTTTGGGGAAGAGCAATTTAGTGGTAACTAATAAGTTTGTATGTTGAGCAATTTACTCAGGAAGTGAGCAAAGGGCCAAATTGTAGTAGATGGTTCTAGTACCTGATTTGTTCCAGATCACCAACCATTAGAACTGTGTTGGTGGAACCAAGGGATGTTTTCTTGAAGGCCAACGAAGTCTTCAAGCGGGAGGTGTGCGTTTTTTTCCCAGCTGACTCGTTAGTCAAGATGTTCAATACTTTTGCAGTATCCGACTTGGCCCAAAGCAACAAGTGCTTCCCTCTACTCTTCTGATCATGCACACAAATACAAAGTCCAGAGGAATCTTTGGGTGTAATGACTCCAATCTTCCAGTGGCTTCCGTCTTTAAACCAAATTGAGGGGATCAAACAGGCACCTCCTTTTGTTTCTTTGTACCGACTGGTACATCTTGGTGGCGTCAGGAGAACAGCCAGCCCGGTCCTCTATCAACAACTCACCGGGTTCCACTCATTTTGAAGCCCTTCACGCTCGCGCCAGCTCCGGCGCAGTGGGCACACAGCGAGGGAAAAAAAGAAGCAGCGAGTGGACTCTTCCGAGTGCCTCCGGCAGGCCATGTCCATTGATGGGCGGCTGAAGTCGCCGGTCGGGAGGATGTGTCGGCATGCCCTACCCAAATCAGCAGAGACGTGTGCGACCGGTCTCGTCCACATAGCTTCTGCTGCTTTCACACCGTTGGCCGGGTGTGGGGCGTATGCGAGGGGTGCGTCAGGTTTGCAGGCACAAAACTCAGCTGGCATCAGCTCTTGTGCACCTCGCTTGTAGCACTCGGAACCTTCGGAGCCAACGCACAGGCCAGGGTATGGCTATGTTGTGCATGACGGCACGGCGATGAGCTAATGCGCGTGCTGGGGGTGCCCAAGTCGGCAAAACTTGCTTGCGGGGCAAGGAGGGGAGGCCCGTGATCATTGGCCTTGACATGACTTGATTTGTTGCGTGCCCAGTGCTTTATTTGATTCGATG